GCCGAGTATCAGACAAAAAAATCAGAAGATTTGCAGAGGAGACTTGTTGATGCACACGCATCCATTTATCATATTGAAATAGTAAGTTCATCTCAACACGGAATCAGTATGCAGTATGTGTCTGGGTTTAGTGTTACTTGTTGTTTATTTCATCATTTTGATTAACAGATTGAGAAAGTAAGACTTGAAGTTCATCAATTACACGATTTGGACATCAAGCGTGCAATGGCAGGGCCAACTATGGGAGTCAATCTTGATATCCCAGAATCTATTGGTCTGTCAGCACCCTTACCTGCTCCATCATCGTCAAGGCTAGTTGATATAGACACCAGAAGACGTGGGAAACGGAGAATTTAATATTTTATTCTTGTGCAGACAAATCCATTATATTAAATTGGAGGCTATTGCTCCGAGTTCCTAGTGGGTTGAAGGATGTAGCAGATAGTGTTTCAAGCTTACCACTTACCAGCAAGGTTTTGTATCATGTGCATCACTGTTAAAGATTATGTACAGTTGATTAGGATGTTATTCATAAGTTATACGATGGAATAGATGTTAGAACTCACCAGTTAACATAAGAATAGGGTTTAATTTTTGTATCGAAAGAGGAAAAAAAAAGTAGAATAGGTTTTTAAAGCAGTCCCGTAGGATTTCGTGTTTGATTAAGCTGTTTATAGCATTTTTCAATTCATGGAAGTCAGTCTGCTCTCTTGTTTAAAGATGTCTTGCTGTAAATTAATTGCAAAGTTTTAGTGAAATGGAGTTTCATGTACACCACACTTTGATGTAATCTTTTGTTCTTTGTCAAAATTAAACCTCGAGATTGTATCATTCATGGTTGTGCCCCATCTACTTTACAAAGGAACTTCATTTTCCCTAATGCCCTTTTGCCGTCCTTGTTCATGGCCATGCAGTGTGGAATGACAAGAAGCTTGGATACACACATGTATTTTATTGTTCGAAGGTTGTAAACCCGGGTTGGTGTCCATATCCTGATATCCATATTACCCATTTCATTGTTTTTAATGACAGATTTGGAGTTCCAGAGACTCGTGATACTTTAAAATTATATCTTTATGCGGGTGTAATAGTTTTTTTAAGCAGTCATTTTTTTTTTATGCATTACTATATAATTTAGTGTTCAATTTTAATTTTACTCATATTTTATATAATTTATATGCTTAACTAATCATTTTTTAAAAAGATTATTAAAATACTGCCACTCAATTGTATATTTTATAATATTCAAAGTGTACTACTTAACCAAAACACAATTTGTTTAATTTTCAGGTTTTAAATTATAATTATTATTTCTAAATGAGAAAAGAAAAACTCTTTTAATGCTAAATATAATAGATTATTAACATATTTTAGATCATTTAATTAAATTTGTCAATTTAGATTGGTGTTAAAATAAACATTTTTGAGTTTAAGGTTAAACCACCAACTCACTTTTATGTTAGATGGATGGACCATGACTTTTTCCTTTCATTACCATCTAGGCTAGTCTATCCTATTTCATTTTATTTTTACGTGAGACGGACCATAATTTTTTCCTTATCGTTACCACGTAGGCTAGTCTATCTTATCTCATTTTACTTTTAGGTGAGACGGATCATGATTTTTTTCTCATCATTACCATGCAGATTAGTCTATCCTATCTCATTTTACTTTTAGATAAAATGGGCCATAATTTTTTTCTATTATACCATGCAGGCTAGTCTATTCTATCTCATTTTTAGCGGGCTGGTGGTAGCGAAGCAAGTAAAAGAGAATTGCATGGAAGGGAGGGGCAGGATGAGAGGAAGGGTAGGGGATAATGAGAGGAAGTGGAGGGGATAGGGGGGGGGGAGTATGGTT